ACCGCACCGCGCCCCGGCCCCGGCCCCGGCCCCGCGCCGAGCGACGCCGGCCCGGCTGCCTCCTGCGGGAAGGAATCCTTCGGCCCGCGGGGCGCGGACGGCGCCCCGCAGCCAAACTTCCAGGTGTTCCGCTAAGTTCTTCCCCTCGGCTCTGCCCTGCGGCTCGCACAAGCTCTTGGCCCACAGCCTCCTCCCCTCCCCCCCAAAAAGAAAACTTTTGGAGTAGTCGCGGAAACGTTTCTCGCGAACAAATGCGGCCGACCTTCGGGGCTTGCCCCTGTCCCCAAGGAAGCCCGCTGGATTTTCCCAGGGAGCAGGATCAGGCCGGGCATTTGTACTTCCAAGGGAGCAGCAGACAGCCACAAAGTTACCTTGGAGATGAAAAGCTTTTAGCGAACGAGTAATTTCTTCTATACGGGCTAGCAGCGCTCGGGCTCTCTCGGTGTCCTGGAAGGAACGATTAAGGTAGCGGTTTCTTTCCCCCGCTCCTTTACTTCACGATTAGTTTCATGATCTCCAATAAAATCGCGTGAAGTGCTACACCCTTTGCCAACAAAGCGGGTCATCACTCTAAGTTCACATTTCCTTTCTGCCTCGCTGGTACCCGATGCCCACTCTCAGGACGTGCGGGCGCGTCCTCGGAAGTGTCTGGGGGATGCGCAGGTTCACCCCGGCCCGGCCCGTCCGGCCTGGCTCCGGGCACACCCGCCTACTGCCCCGTGGGTCTCAGGGCCCTCGCATCCCCCGGCCCGCTGCTCCCACCCGAGCCCGTCCTCCACCGTGGAAGCCCACGGGGGACACGCTGCCTGTGCCCGGTGTGTTCCCGCCGCGCTTCTGCGCCCGCGGTGTTGAAGAGAGAATCCCTGCCTCCCCCTGCTCCTCTTCGCTGCTGGAGCCCAGACTCCAGAGGAAGAAAGTGTGCGAAACTGCAACTGAGTGGCGTTGTTGCGCCGGCAGCAGAGGCTGTGTCCCCTGCACGCAGAGCGGGAGCGGAGCTGGGAAAGCAGCTGGAAAATGCCCAGAAATACTTTCACAGCGGTCAAGCCTGGAAATCCCTGACACCCCTCCTTCCCTCCCCCGCCCCCGCCCCGCTAGCCCGATGGCCTGGCACCCCGCGTAGCCCGGCCCGCGGGCGCGGGGGTGTGTGTGCGAGTGTGCGAGAGAGTGCGTGTGCGTGCGTGTGTGTGTGAGTGTGTGTGTGTGTGTGAGTGTGTGTGTGTGCGTGTGCCGCACCTGCCATCCGATGCCAGCGGCCGGGCTGCCCGCCGGGGCTGCGCCGCGGCTAGCTCTTCCCGCCGCCGCCGCCGGCCGCCGCCGCTGCCTGCGCTGGGCATGTCTCTGGGGCCGGCGGGGCCCCGGCTCCCTCCGCTCCTCGGCTTATGGACGGCGGCAGCGGCAGCAGCAGCGCTAGCAAGCAAGCGAGCAAGCAACCTGCACCAGGACTGCGCGGAGGAGTGGGAGCCCGCGATGCTTTGGCCTCAGTACTTTTCCTTAGCCTGTCTGGCTAACCGGGGCCATTGCTGCCGCCGCTGCTGCTGCTAGACACACAACACACACCAACATCAGGAGGGGGAAAAGTAAGGGAGAGAGGAGAAAAAAAAAAAAAAATCCCAGGAAGATGGCGCCCACCAAGCCAAGCTTTCAGCAGGATCCTTCCAGGCGAGAACGGTAACACTTTCTCTTTATTGAACCTGCAGCAGCAGCAGCAGCAGCAGCCGCCGCAGCAGCGCCGGGCCGGGCCAAGCCGCCGGCGCCGGGGGCCGGGGCTGGCTGCCATGCCGGGGTGGGGGGACCTGCCGCCGGCACCCGCTGCTCGCACAGCCGGGCACCGTGAGTTCCTCCTAGTGCGCACCGCCAGCCGCACGCACACACACACGCACACACACACGCACACACACACGCACACACACACAGACACACACACAGACACACACTCAGAACAAGCCGCGCAGCAGCGGCCCCGCTCCGGTGGCCGCACCGCCGCGGCTGCCGGAGCCGGTGCTCGGCGGGGCGCGTTGTGGAGCGGGCGCATGTGTGTGTGTGTTTGTATGTGCGTTTGTGTGTGCCCGGGGGCGGCAGGCCCCCCCGGGCGGCCCCCGCCGCTCGGCGGCCCTGGGGCGCCGCGCCAGGCCCTGGGCAGAGCGGAGCCGGTGCGCGGGCGGGCGGGGAGGCACGGAGGGAGGCGGCGCGCGGGTCCGGGGAGGGAGGCGGGGGGTGATCGCGCTGCCCCCCCGCTTGGTTCCCGGCCCGCCGCCTGCCCCATGTACTTTTGTTGGGAGAGAGTGCTTGTGATTAATGTGCTCTGCTGGTGACACGAATTGCCCGTAGCGGATTTGTTCTAGTAAAGTGAATCTTTCTGGAAGTGACTGGTAGGAGACAAGAGTACAAGTTCATGTGATGTTACTTTGTGATTCTTACAAAAGTATTCAAAGCTTCATTGCTACACTGCGACGAGATATATGCCCAGAAGAAGAGCAGCCAGAGGGTTTGGGGGGGGGGGCTCTTTCCCTCCCGCCCCCTTTAGCGTTACAAGTGAACTTGAGTGTGAGGGGCGAGGAAGGTTCCTGGCTAGCTGGAAAAATGGAAATTACCATTTACCATAGCCCTTAAAAGTAGCTGGATCATGTGTCAGTCGGTTTATATTTCACAGCACAAATAAGTCTGAAAAATATTTAAACAAAAGTACTTCAGCCTTAATTTCATACTTGCATATTTTAGAATGATCAGCGTTTCTAGTACAACTTCCAAACCCCACAGATTTTGTCTAAGTAGCTGTGCCATTTTTCCTAAGAAAGCAGACTGCGTGGTATAAAAAAAACCTATATATCTCATATTCACCACTGAAGTGTTAGCGTGCTTTTCTTAGATGCATTAGTGTTAACTGTTGCACTTTGACAAGGCTATGTTGATATGTAGCAAAATTAGGAGATACACATAATGGGGAAACAGTGCATCCTCAGATGTCAATTACTTAACTGCAGATTTTCATTTGCAACTATAAACATTTTTTTTAAAATCTTCATTCCAGTGGCTGCAAAGGTGTTTCTACTGTGTTAATAACACTTAAAGCAGCAGGTTTTTCTCCTGCAGAATTCTTTGTTGGAAAAACAATTCACATGAATAAGTCCTGTTCCCCCACAACAAACAATTCTGCTGTCTTCTTTCTGAGAATGTTACTATATTAGTGCTAAGTGTATTTGCCAGGATAGCTTCAGTAATCTCTCCAGCAGAAGCATATTTGTGTGCCATTTTGGGAATTTCTCTGAGATAGGAATCTTGAAGATAGAATTAATTTCTAGGGGAAACTTCATAGCCTGTGCATGAGTGCTTTCTTTATCACCTGTCTCCATTTGGCATTCGGAGAAGGTAAATCAAAGTGTGCGATTTGTTATTCTGCTCCACTTGAGAGCTGAACTAAATAACACTTGGTCTGAAATTCTGATTGAAGTTGTAGGAGGATATACTGTATTTAATTTAATGCCCTTTAATAGCATCTTCTTGTTCAGCTCTGATGCTGTCATTTTAAAGGTTGGATCGGAGTAGTTTTTCCCTGTAGGGAGTGGGAGGTGTAATCATTTCAGGGGAAAAAGGTAGTCTAAATTCCTAGAACACTAATAGCCACAAACTTGGCCTAGTGTCCAAGAAGTTGTTTTTTGCCCTTAGGGTTCACTTTGTTAGCACTCTGTACAGTGCTCTGGATAGTTTAGGTATAAGTATTGCATGTAGAAGTTGATGACATTTTTTGCAGCAAAAATAATGTTAGTCTGTTTATTCCTTAAAGTTTTGGAGAAAACGGAACAATGCTTCAATGAACAGATACTGATGTACATTTTATTAAAAGTTGTGTAATGTGCCCATGAAGTCTTGCATGTAACTATTTTAGCTGTACACATCCTTTCATCTGTGGGAACCAAGACATTTGAAATACAGGAGCATATCACTTACTGAAAGGGTTTTGCAGTCTCTTAGCTACTGCTTCAGTAAACTAGTTCTCAGGATTAAGAATCCTCTAAATTAACTTTGTGTACATTGTTTTTTTAGTCTTCACTACCACAAGTGTTTAGGTAGATTGTGTTACATTTTTTCAAGCAGCAAAAATGTGCTTACAAAACAGATGTAAAAAGTAGTAGTCTCTGATGTAAACAGGCACTTGAATAGTTTTGAAACTTTTTTCACCTGCTTAGGATCTTAAAAGGATACAAGAAAAGTTACACACTTGCATTTGTTTGATTTTCTTTTAAACTGTGAGTGTTAGCAAATTTTACAGTTACAGCAACAGTTTAGTTTTTTCAGCTGGGTGGATATACACCCAAGAAAATGAAATAGACAGAAGTGTCATGCATATGATATGCCAGCATTGATTTGTATAGCATATCATAATATTAGAGTGCTATTGGTTTAAAGTGAAAGAGAAAAAAACCTTTATTTTGGCCCTTTTTCTAGAGCATGAGCTTAAACATAGCAGTGATAAATGATGATATGCATTGTCTAACACTTGCTTTTATATAAATAGCTCCAGAAGATTGCTTAAATGATAATCGAAAATATGAAATAGGGTGGCCTTCATATCACAAGGCCAAGGGTCTACAAATGGAAAAACTGAAATAATGAAATATTTCCAAGGCAACAGACTGTCAACAAGAACAGTAATGCATGGGTATATCATAGAGCTACCAGAGAGGATATTAGATCTTATAGCTCTAGAGCCAGGAGTTATAATGACCTTTATTAAATAGAGCCCTCCCACATTACAACAATCTTTCTGATTTCTGATTTATGGATTAGCAGTCATACTACTCTTCATAATTTGAAACATTCTCCCACCATATTTGATTTGCTGCATTTTTCTCCACTGGAATCATACATTATTTAGAGCTTACATGAGAGTATTGATCAACAAAACTTATATTAGGTATTTTCAGTAACTAATGGGATTCTGAATAACAAGGTTTTGTCTGCAGCAACGTTTTTACATTCTTTACATACATACAGCACAACCGTTTTTTTCTTACAAACTATATCCTGTTAGCTTGTTTTATAACAATTTGATAGCATTACATTCTAATGCTGTACTATAAGTAAGTTACAAATAATTAGAGAATTTTGTTAACAGATTAGTACAACACTCAGAGCCATAGGTGTTTTTAAGAGAATATGAGACTCTATTCAGTACCCATCTCTTTTTATTAGCATCTCACTTGAATTTCAGAGTCTAATATACTGGCAATTTTGAATCACATTTGTTTGAAACTTGGCACACAAGTTGCCAGCCCAGATGGGAATTTTATTGCAAGAGTGATGTAAAACAGTTGTTGAAAATTGACATTCTAGGTGTTAGTTTCCTCACCATGCTTCCTAAAAAGTAGAGTGTTTAATTTTTTTTTTTTTTCATAAAATGATCTTTATAACTATATCATATTTATTGGAAAATGTATTCTAAGATAAGAATTTTTAATAACTGGTACTGATCATGAAAATAACTGTTACAATTTTATTAACATTTTTGGAATGATTCTTCTCTCACCGAGGTCAGTAGAATGAAGCCATTTAACCAACGTGGCAGAAGTTCATTTGTTAGCAATTAAGTAACTGCTTACTGTTATGAAACCATTTCCTGAAATCTCATCTCATGTGAATAAACCTTATGTTCAGTTATTCCATCAGATCAATTTTATATTATTATCAGCAGTAGCTATTGCAGGTATAAAAACACCTCATCTTGTGTTGTCAGCATAGTCATAGCATATTTTATAATGAATCAAACAAACTTGTTCTGCAGGATGTCACCCTGGAAATTTGTTTACATATCCTTAACATAGGATATTTTTAAGATACATAGCAAAGACTGCTTTTTCACCTCAGTCATTTGTTTCTTTGGTTTGTTTGCTTATGCTTCTTGTTTGGCTTTTTTTTTTTTTTTTTTTTTTTTTTTTTTTTTTTTAAGAGGCTGCCAAAGATTTAAGGCCATGAGAGGAAATGTTTTGAAAATGCATTTCAAAAGAATTACATTTTATCAGAATAGGCAATTTCTTTCTATGTAATATTTATAAGGCTATTGTATGTTATCTTTAACATACAAAATCCCATTAGTGCGAATGAGGTGTGCGACTTTTTGTTTAATAGGACTTTGCATAATAAGGATAATTTGTAATAATATTGTATTTTGCTGCATAAGAAGATGTGCCATAGTAAGAATATAATAGTTGCTGCCATGTCTTATATGACTAGAGCATTGTTCTGTGACTAGCTCGAGCAGTGGTTTTGCAATACACAAAGTCCTAGTCAAATGAATAGGACCCTTGTGCCATTCATTTGAACAGGACTTTGAGTAGTACAAATATTCGTTAATTTTGTATGCCACAGAAGTATATTACACAGGACAAAGAAGGTACAGTAAGGGTAGGATAGTATTTGTGTCTCTAACTTGGCAGAACTGGACCCTGTCTTTGGGAGAATATTAAGTTCAAGTTGTACCTTAATCTTTAGAAAAGTCCCAAATGAAATTATGTACACAATTAAAGTATACTACAGAGAATCACAAGCAAGGATAAAAGTATTTGTAACATATAATTTAATAGATGTGAATTTTTCCTCAGAGAGATAGCAATGACAAATATACTTAGTGAGAGGAGGAGGAGTGAACTTTGCCTCTGCGTGTTATTGTAAAA